TCTCTGCAGTGGCTCTTTCAGGCTTTGACCAAAACTAAAATAAAACTGAATTTTATTTAAATTATTGCCAACAATGAAAATGGATAGTTTTAGCAGATTTCCTGTCATTTTCAAGTATGTGATATAAATACACAGCGTAAAACATGTGCACTACAAATTCAGTGGCCCCCAACCATTCTCCTTGAGGAACGCCATTCCGCATGTTTTAGTTGTTTCCCTGCTCCAACACCTGATTTATTTATTGTATTGCTTCCTCAAGTTTTGCCAAAGTCTGTTAATCGCCCTTTCATTCAAAGCAGGTGTGTCAAGTAGGGAAAAAACTAAAACATGCGGGCTATGGCTGCCTGCCTGGGAGGAGCCGATGGGGGACAGGACAGTCCCCAGAAACCATCTTAGCTCAAGCAAACTGGTTGGTCCGCTTAAGAAGTTTACTGCTTGGTGGGGAAAAGTTTACTGGAACTCCTCATGAAGATGAAGCCCTGATGAAGCCCTCTGAATAGAGGGGGAAACGTCTCTATAAAAAAGAAACTGTCCAGATGACCTGACTGAGAATTATTGGATTTGATACCTGGTTGATTGAGCATGAACTTTGCTACCATGCAGGATGGTGTTACTCAAGGACCAGAGTTGGGAACCACTGGACTACATCATGCTAGTAAGTTTGTTAGCCACTGTAAGTCAACTTCCAGTCTCACGGCATAATCTTTCCCTCAAAACCACCAGAATGTTTTGGAATATCTTTAAGACAAGTTGCTGAGAAGGAATATGGTGAGTAACTTTGATAACACTAAGAATAAAACAAAAAAAACAAAGTCAAAGTAAACAAAAGTATTTATTTTTATTTAAAAATGTAATTGAATATCCAACAAGCTGGCCTAATTTTATACTGTCTTTAACTGTATGTTTTAAGTAGGATACTTAATTCTTCAGCAATTACCAGTAAGAGAACTCACATCGGTCTGCAGAGTTCAGTGTTTTAATTTTTATAAAATGTTAAAAAATTATATATATTTTTCTTTCTTTACATGAATCTGGTATTTTTTTTTGGTAAATGTAAACATGTCAATAAATGTTAATAATAGTAAGACATTTTTCATTTTATATCACCCCACTGCTCAGAAAAGCCATTTCCAACAAACTTATGGTCCACGGGTTACTAGTTGACAGTACACAGTTGTAGCAGGTTTTGCGGCTCTGGACATAGTAATTAATAAGCCAAGTGGCAAAAATGGCTCTTTTTACTGCAAAGGTTGCAGACCCCTGGTCTATGGTGAGCAGATGGGTATGAATGAATACAACGAGATCAGCAGCAAGAGATCAGCAGCATGGATAATCAGCAGCACATATACAAGGAAGTCACATATCGCCAGTTAAAGTGGCATTACTGTGATTATCTTGGTTAGGGATTTATGAGTCTAACAGCTTCAGGGTATAAGCTGTTCCTCAGTCAATCTAAATTGATGTTATTTGTTTATTTACTAAATGTTATTTGGCTTAATTAATTAATGCGATTATTAGTGAGTAACTAATCAAGTTTTAGTTGTAAGGATTTTATGAAGTCATGGTTCCTTCATTGTCACGCCCATCGTTCTAAGTAAGAACAAATCTGTCCTCAGCAGCAGCATCCACAAAAAAATGCAAGAATTTATTTAAATAATTTATTAGAAAATGAATGATTAACTAATATATGTATCTAAAGGACATACATACATACAGGAAGTGAAAAACTGCATCCACCCTCAACTCCTTGTGCTCCCACAAGGAGGTGCTTCCTGGAGCTTCTTTAAGCCTGCTCCTTGAATTACCCCATCAGCTGGGGCCAGGTGGCCATGGGAGACCCTAACAGGCAACACGGACCCCAAGATTTGTTGTTTTTATAAAGAAGGATGCTTTTTTTTAGTGAATATGAAGAGGTTTTCCTTGAAAACGGAGATGACACAATCTTGAACTAGAGGATCATTGAGCACCCACAAAGGCAGCAGATCTTCTGCTTCACTGAACTTTGGTAGCAGCTGCTGCTTAATGTGCTTTATAAATGAATTTGACTTGACTTCACAGAGAAGCTGCTTTAGGACATGCCTGAAGATGCTCTTGCTGAAATTTCTGGGAGCTTTCTGGTGAAGTAAAAATGTTCTCCTTGTCTCCTTGTATCGGCTCAAATTCTTCTTGGAGAACTTGATCTCTTTCAGGAGAAAAGTTCAGCAAGGATTTTTTAATGGCCTGCTCAATAAGACATTTAACAAGCAGGCCTAGCTGCTCTGGTGTTGGATGTCTTCTCATCTCCTGGATCAAGCTCTGGTTCTCACAAGTGAGAACGTCTGAAGTATTTCTCTGAGGCTCTCCTTGGTGAATGAAGGTGGTCTCTGGAGGTCGGTCATCAGAGATGAAGTCCTCCTCAGTGATATCTTTGTCCTCTGAATCAAACCTGTGGCTCCTGGAAGGTGATGGTGAAGGTCAGAGTTGACCACAGATACAAGTCTGACTTGCTATCCACAGTTCTGACTTGGGGAGGCTTCATCCAGGATGGGTCTTCTTAGTAGATGGATCTTAGGTCCAGAAGTCTCCAGGATCTCTGGTACCACAGTAGACATCATTCTGTGATGGACTTCACCAGCAGACTTTCTAATTTTACCTTTCAGGCCTTTGAGGTGTGATTTTGTCTTGGTGACCGAAGCCTGGAGGTGTTCAGCTTGTGAAGGGGTTTCTCCGTTCATGACTGCTGTTGGAGTTGTAGCTCCATGAACTCTGACAGACGGATTAAAAAGAACCTTGGTTTTTGACTAACCAATGTTTTGATGAGCTCAGGACAGGAACCTGGTAGAACTGAGACATTTGTGAATCTTTTAGATCAAAGGATAATAAAGTAGCTCAGCCGACAAGGTGTTCCTAGCGTAGTAACGTTATATGCATATGAAATATTCCACTAATAAGCTGAGGAGGAAATTATGATAACAAATATAAACCTTTCAATGGGTAAAGTAATGTATTATTTAATTTAGAAGCAATAGAAACACCCCCGCCCCCAGCATTTTTTTTGTAGTCTATTGTTGTCATTGTTTATTGTTATTGTTGTCTGTAGTTTATATGTTGTGTCTGGAACAGGTCTCTCTTGTACATGAGTCCCCGTGGCTCAATGAGACTAACCTGTATAAATAAAGTTTGAATGAACGAACGCAATGTCACAGACCTCATTATCGTAATACATAATTTTCATTTTGTTGTGCAACTTTTTTTGTTTGCTTTCCCCCTTACTGTAGATTTTAACCTGAAATGCTGCAAATATCATTGCAACAGTTGACAGCAATCAATCATGTGTTACTACACGGCCTGCATCTACACCACCAGATGCATGAATTGGTAGAGCATGTTTCCATCAACCAGTGGCGATTCATTTAATAAATAATAAATAAGTTCCTTTTCTGGATTTTCAGAGGCAAATAACATGGAAACTAGTTACCGCAGAGTCATTGACTGCATTAAACTGCATGGTTTTGGTTTTTCAGCTGACGTCCTCGTTTTTTTGAAACGAAGACATGTTACGTTTAGACCAATAAAATTATTTCTTCTTGTTGTGACCTACATGCTCCACAATTAAATAACACTTAATAATTTGACTGAAGTCGATCCGTCGTCATTTAAAACATCATCAAGTGTCTTTAAGAATCTGTTGGACACCTGGCAGGGTCCAAGGCTGACATGTTCCTGTTGTTAGTTTTCTACATTTGTCTTGGAATCTAGCTGTTTTTTGGTTTGTTACCTTTTCCTTTTAGCCATCCTATTTGTTAAAAAACAACAAAAAAAAAAAAAAAAACTGTAGTATGCTTTTTTATAACTGTTTATTGTTGTTGCTGTTGTCCATTGTTGTCATCTTTCTTTGTTGAAATCAGGTCTCTCTTGTAAATGAGTCCTCGAGGCTCAATGGGATTTACCTGTATGATTGATTGATCATTGTGCGCGCTGAAGGTTGATTGATTGATCATTGTGCGCGCTCCCGAGACAGGGGGCACTAATTCTTTTGGGGTTACTTAACTTGACACAACATCGCACACCTCTGTGCGCGCTCCCGCGTGGCTCGCTTTTTCCTGAGCCCTATCTCCGCCTTTATGCTCTGACGTATAGACGCAGACTTTTTTCGATTTTTATTTTTTATTAACCGTAATAACAAAACATCTTTTGTCGTCTTGTACATGATATAAATTATCGCGCTTTGTTGTTTTACCCCGTTATATTAAAATATCGTTTGTTATTTTTACGCGGGAGGTGAAAGGTTAAAAACAAAATGGCGGAACACTGAATGGATGCTACATATTTTCCTGGATAATCTGGAGATTGTCAGGTGAAACAATGATTTAGTGGACTTTTTCATACCAACCCTACTTGTCCTAATCATAAAGCATCCTTTTTTGGGTGCTTTAATACAAACTGAAGTACAAACCGAAGTGAAACAGCGAGCGATGCTACACTGAGCTGTGAACGTTCAATCTTCATTTGATCTTTGTTGCCTTCCAGGACCTGGACCTGGTACCTTTCTGTTTGAATTGGATGCACGAAGTTTCCGTTTCCTGAAGGAGCAGCAGCAGAGCTGTGGATAAACATCTGAGCTCCTCCATGGATCAGTAAAGACAACAAGATGAACAGGAAGAAGGATAAAGCGTTTGAGAGCCCTCGGCCCTTTAAATTATAAGTATTTTTATTATATACATATGCACACATGCACACGCATATGCATACGTGGATCCACGTGTTGCTACTCATCTATCTCACTGAAACAGTGCTTTATCTTTTACATGATTTTAGTTAAAAGCATTAGTCTAATGTCTGTATGTGAAGACTTTTTTGTTTGTTTAGTTTACAAAACTATAATAAAATGTATTTACAGATTTGTCGGATCTTAAAGATAATCTTTTCTTTAATAGTCATGCGACTTTAATTAGTCTTGCAGGTACAAACAGCCATTAGACAGTTTGGTGTTTCTGTGTCATCACTGATTAGAGATATTCATGTTAAAGGGCTACAGGGGAGTGGTTGTGCAGAGGTTAGAGAAGGTGGGCCTCTGATCGGAAGATCGTTGGTTCAACTCCTAGTACCGACAACATCAAAATGTGGGTGGGATAGGTGAAGCACCCACACATTCCTCCACCATCATTTGCCCCACTCTAGGCCCTTGAGCAAGGCCCTCAACCACCTCCATCTGCTCCCCAGGTGCCCTAGATGGCAGCTCTCTGCTCCACACAGAGGGCTGTGGTAGCTCAGTGGTCTGTGGTTGTGTCAGGAAGGACATCTGGTGTAAAAACAATTGACAAGTGTTCATGTGACTTAGTTCTCTGTGGAAGGAGCAGCTGAAAGCAAAAAAAAGTTGAAGGGAAAGGCTACAAAACTATCTACAAGCAGCTTTTTGTCCCTCTTACCACAGCTGCAATGTTATGAAAAATTAAAGTTAATGAAAGTGTACCCAACCCCGCCCCAGGTTGTGGAAGCAAGTGGAAATGCAACCTGTGGTTGATCAGACAGAGTGTGTGAATGATTTAAAACAAACAAAAAGAGACAAGGCCACAATCTAAAACCATTCTGGACTCTGTCATTTTCTAATTGCATCCTCTGTTGCATTTTGAATAATAATGGGCTCCATAGAAGAAGACCCAGGAGACTCGACTATGGACAGAAAAACACACAAAAGCCAGACAGGGATTTGTCAAAATGTTATGTTAATGAGTGTCAGAGTTTCAGAGACTAAAGAGAGTAAACTGGAGTGTTTTGGCTCCTGTCACATCAGTTGCGTTTTTTGAATAATGTGGAAGAGTACCAACCTGCATCTGTACATATCTGAGTGAAGAGATTAATAGCTGAAGTAGAGGTAATTTAATTTAAAAAATGGTACACAGCAAATTCATGTCAGTCACAAAATGAAGAGGCTCTGTGCTTACTGTAGAGGTTGTTTTACTAGTTTTTAACCAATACTGTGCAACTAATATTAATATTTACTTTATTGTTGATTTTACGACCCACCAGGTTGTGTGCATCAACAATATCAACTTCCAAAGGAAATCTGTCATTGTAAGTACATGCTGTCACATCTGTTTTACTGCACCCATACATGAACTTGTATTACACCAGGCTGCAGCCTCGTAAGGTAGTCACGCTTTGTTTTACTCAGGAAATAACTCGGGACAAACGTGCATAAGTGAAATGCAAATAGTCAAGTTACAACCCCATTCAAGATGGCCCCCACAGTAAAGCAACCTTAGCAAATACAAAAATGACTATAACTCCAGTATTACAGATATTGAGCTAACATACACTGCTTGGCCAAAAAAAAATAAAAAGCTCACACACTAATATTTCATTGGACCGCTTTTCTCTTTGATTACAGCATGCATTCACTGCGGCATTGTTTCGATAAGCTTCTGCAATGTCACAAGAACGTTGGTTACGTACTGTAACCCCAGATTCTGTGAGTATAGGCATAGCCCTTTAAGGCTGTCGCTGGTGGGTTTTATCCTGTCACGCGAAGCGTAGCACTGAAAACTTTAGTCCATGCCCACCTGTTGTGTGGGCCTCACCCGGTCCGTATAAATTACGTTGAGAGTGGGTAATCTGCTCCCAAAATAGCTTTTTCTTCAGCCACTTGGGGAGTGGTGGCGCAGAGGTTAGAGAGGTGGGCTTGTGATCCGAAGATCGCCGGTTCACGCCCCGGCCCCGACAACATCAAAATTGTGGGTGGGGTAGGTGAAACACCCACACTTGCCCCCACCCTCATTCGCCCCACTCTGGGCCCATGAGCAAGGCCCTTAACCCCCACCATGTGCTCCCTAAACAGGTCTCTCTTGAAAATGAGTTCTCGTGGCTCAATGAGACTAACCTGGATAAATAAAGGCTAAATGAAAAAAAAAAAACAAAAAAAAAAAAAAAATTTAGGATCCAGTGAGGCCCAGTGCTTAAAGGGCTACGCCTATACTCATAGAATCTGGGGTTACAGTACGTAACCAACGTTCTATTTCATATAGGTTTCATAAGGCTTAGAGCTTAAGGCTTTATAGGTTTCGTAAGGCTGTCGCTGGTGGGTTAAAGGCGAAGCAGGATGTAGTCTATGCCTCACTGGGTCCGTTCAGACACAGTATGAAGCACCTGCTTGCACCAAAAAACATTTCATCACTCTGCCTTCTATGTGCATAATTACGCGTTCCATGTACAGGAGCGCCCCGGAGAGAAAAGGGTTTCCGGCGGTGGAAAAAAAGGAGGAAGGCTGAAAGCAGTCCTGCTGCCGAGAATGGAAAAGAGCAGGTTAAGATTGTAACCGTTTAGTAGTGAATAGAGCAGATCAACAGCTCTTCAATATGAGTGGATTAATAGTAATGAACTGAGTAGTAATCAAATGAACTGATTGGTAACAGTAGTCATGAACTGATTGGTAACAGTAGAACAAAAACATCAGTCACAGAACTTGTGACTGATAATAAATAACTCACACTGTAATTGCATGCAGTCAGATGTGAGTTTAAACAGAAATTCCATGAAAACATTAGGATTATTCTGTTATGGCACTAAGGACAGAATGCGCCATGGAACTAGAAACATCACGCAAATAAAAGCGGATAAATGAGCAAGGCGACGACCATGCAGCCGCCGTGCAAATATCCTGCACTGTCATACCATTATGCAAAGCTGTCCAAGATGCAATTCCTCTGGTCGAATGCGCCCTGAGGTTCTCAGGAGGCTCTAAACCTGATGCTCTGTAAGCTTCAGAAATGGCCTCACACAGCCAGTGTGACAGATGCTGGGTGGATAACGGGCGACCTGCAGAGGCGTCTCTATAATGTACAAACAGACGTTGAGTCTGGCGCAGTGTGGCCGTGCGTGTTATGTAACATGCCAGCGCACGCACAGGGCAGAGGAGATGAAAAGATGCTTCTTCTTCTGATTTGTTAGGGGGGAGGGAAAAACCCTTCTAACGTTATCGTTCTCGATTTTAAATGAACGCGTGATGTTTTGAGGCATAAAAGCTGGGTTAGGTCTCAACTAGGGGTGCAGAAAAAAATCGTTTTTTCGATGAATCTAGATTCTTAGTCCTGGCGATTCTGAATCGTTTCTAAAGGTCCATAAATCGATTTTAAAATGCATTTAAGTTTTATATTTTTTCCGCTCCTACTCCCCGTTCGGCCGCCTTAGAATGAGCCGTGTAGGCCACCGTACAGCAAGCTAGTTAGCCAACTCCCTTTATCTGAATGGAGCTTGCTAGCATGGAGGAGGGAGACAGCGCGATTCAACCCGCTGCTTCGTCTTTAAAAATCATTTCAGATCCTACAATGTTCCGGGGAAGATAGAGCTTCACAAGAGCACAGTTGTTTACAAGAAGTATAAAATAAAATTGTGGGACAGTATTTTGGATATAAGACAAAATTCACGGAAGATGAAAGCGAAGCAGCCGACCAGCAAACTCTGCAACAAACTTCCAGGCTTCTCCCAAAGGCTGTGAAGATTTCCCTCTCCATTTCCTGCTGTATCACAAAGGATTTACGAGCAGACAGCTCAGTGGAAGGTGAGAGGTTCAGGTTTTTTTTAATACGATGGATTCAATGTACGTTATTCCTTCATGTAGATTTTTTTTTTTTTGCGCGATAAAGCAGCACCACAACTTTACCATGAAACAACGGATGGGAGAAGCTCTGATGCATCTGCAGCTCAAAGGTAACTGTTTTTTCTCATATTATACTAAAACTTATAGACAAGTTATACAACAAACTTTATGCAATTTGTCTTTTTAACAGGTTGAAGAGGACAGATGAGACGCACATCTCCTGGAGCCAGTTCTAAATGATACAGTTTATGGTTTATAAATTATAGTTCTGAAGAGATTTTGTGCAAACTTGCACAGGTTTTGAAATTTTGTTAAAGATTTACTAAATATGAATCAATATTGTTAAGACTGTGAAGTCTGTATATTTCATATTAGGTTAAGTTTTGAAAATATAACAAATGTTAGAACAATATGATTAAAAATAACTGAAGTCTGTATTTTATGTTGAATTAAAGTTTAATATACTTTGGTAGGCTGAAGTCTGTTTACTTTTATATTTATATATTTTGAATTATTTGTCTGTGATGGACTGGAGACCTGTCCAGGTGTCCCCCGCCTCTCACACAGTGATAGCTGATATGGGCACCAGTGATACCAGTGACTCACAAAGGAAGAAGTGGATGAAGATGATGGATGGAAGAATTATTTTTTCGTAGATTTGGATTTTTTAAATTTTTTTGAGAAAAATTCAGGCAACTAAGCTAACCTAATACTGGTAATTTAAGTTACAGAATTTTATACACTCCTATATTTTTTCCCATTTTTGGTATAAATATAAAATGAATAAAAAAATTTAATACAGTAAGGAACCTAAAATGATTTTTAAATAAATGGTCTATTGGTTTACATTGTTGTTTAATCTTTTCAGCTTGTCAGCTACATAATTGAAACAAAATGTATGACCATTTCAATAGAAAAATCGTTTCTGAATCGAAAATCGTTTTAAAATCTAAAATCGTTTTAAAATCGTATCGTGACACCAAAAATCTGAATCGGATCGTCGGACACAGAGAGATTCGCACCCCTAGTCTGAACACAGCTGAGCTGCCATCAGCTTGAACTCTGAGGACGAGGGGGCAGCAGAGAGCGCAGATAAATCACTCACTCTCTTTGTAGATGTCAAAGCCAACAACAGGGCTGTTTTTTTGAGTGGCAGGAATTTGATTGAAACCTGATCCAAGGGCTCAAAAGGAGCTTTGATCAGGGCTTGCAGAACCATCGTTAAGTCCCACTGTGGAGGTAGTGGGCGTGACACCGGTCTGTGCCTCCGTACACCTTTCAGAAAACGTTTAATCAGCGGGTAATTAAAAACTGTTCTGTCACCGAAGCCTTCGTGACAGGAAGAGATGCCTGCAGCATACGTTTTAATTGTGCTGAACGCCAGATTTCTGTCCATCAGAGTCTGCAGAAAGGACAGCACGCCACCTAGTGGACATGAGATGGCCTCTGCACCTTTTTCCATACACTAGCACTGAAAGGCTGGCCACTTTAATGTGTACAGCGCTGTGGTGGAAGCAGCACGTGAATCCTGAATTGTGCGAACCACTTCCTGGGAGAGACCCATCTTCTCTTAGCGGATCTGCTCAGCGGCCAGACCCAAAGGTGCTGGCCTATTTCTGGGTGACTCCTGATCGATCCTCCTGTCTGGAGGAGAGCATCCTCCCTCCACGGCAGTTTCCATGGTCGACCCGATAACAGACGTCGCAGGATTGGGAACCACGGGGTGCTCGGTGGGCTACCAGAATGGCTGACAGTTCTTCCTCTCAAACTCGGTTCGGAAACCGTGATATTAGAGGGACTGGAGGAAATGCGTAAATGAGCATTTTTGGCCACGGGCTGTGGGCAAAGGCATCCACTCCTAACGGTGGGTCGTCCCGTTTGCTCAGGTAGAACCATATTTGACATTGGGCATTCTCCCGTGTGGCAAACGGATCCAATGCTGCTCGGCCAAATTTCTCCCTAATCCGAGAAATCAGCTCGGGATGGAGACTCCAGTCCCCGTTACACAAACTGCCCCCTGGACATTATGTCCGCTCATCTGTTCAGGACGCCGGGGATGTACACTACTCTGATGGAGAGCAGGTTTTTGTGTGCCTAACACAGCAGCTGCCTCGCAATGCGTAACATTTGGGCTGAGCGCACACCCCCCTGCCTTTTTATGTAAGCTGCAGTCACCTTGTTGTCTGTGTGGATCAGAACATGTTGATTCTGCAGCAAGGAAGCAAAATGTTGAATCACATTCAAAACCGTGAGACATTCCAAAACATTTATATGAGCTGATGTGTGAGGTGGCCACAGCGCCCCCACCGCCTGAGACAGGCACGTTCCTCCCCAGCCTGACAGGGACGCGTCTGTGAAAACTGAGACGTGTGCCGTAGGTCTGCTGATAGGAACTCCCTCTGACAGAGTGAGAGGATTTCTCCAGTATTTCAGGTCGGTTCCCACGGAGGGGGGCACAGAAGTCATCCGCCTCTTCTGC